AGGTTATTTTTATAAATTGAAATATTAAACTTTTATTCATTTAGCTAGAAATATGAACAAGTGTCTCTGTGTGGATTTGTGTGAACAGATTAGAGACAGGTAATTTCTTATAGAATGGAAAGAATGACTTGTCTAGTCACACAAAGCATGCAAAAACTCTAAATTGAAAACAAATCATTCATTTTTATATGAATCTCAATCTCAAATATAGAATTTTCAATGAAGAAGTTCTTTAAGAATGAGGGGGTCAGAGGATCACAAAGACAATTTGATTGAAGACAATTTGATGAGACATCAACTGATCAAACCTGAAAACATTGGACAATACAATAATTAGCATGGTTTACAAAGGGATGAAAATAGGAATATTTGAGTTAGGCTAATATTTCAGATATTAACAGGAATCTAATAATTTATCAAATACTTTTACAGAATCCCCATTTATATAAAAGGGAAATATAACTGTGTAGCAGTGAATTTTGCTAGGTGCCATCTTATATCTTAACCAAGTACCAATGTGAACATCTCAAAGGAATTAGATTACATGAAGTCATGAGCCCTTTGTTGAGGATAAACCACCAGCACTTCAGAATGTGATTCTGTAGCACAAATTCTAATTGGTACTACTAATAAAAACCCAGAGTCAGATACAGGGGTTAATGCTGAAGATCAGAGAAGCAGAACAGTCAGCCACTAGAGAGTTCTTACTTCTACCAAAGCTGAGACAAAGAGGGTGATCCTATCCTCAGACTGCCTCCTCAGACTGGCCTTAGATGATTGTCTCAGACTACACTGTTCCTCAGACTGCATCCTTAGACTGTATCCTCTAACTTCTATGAGCTCCTGTCTCCTCCTGCCTTATATCCCTTTCTCCTCCCAGTGATATCATTTATGTCTCCACCTCCTTAGTGCTAGGATCACTTTGTCTGAGCTCTGTTTCTATTTTAGACAGATTCAGTCTTGTGTAGGCCAGAGTAACCTTGAACTCACAGAGATCCATCTGCCTCTATCACCCCAGTGCTGGGATTAAAGGTGTATAACAACACTGCCTGGCCTCTATGGCTAACTAGTGTTTTATCACTGCAGACTGATATTCAGGCTTCATTTGTTATGATATAAATAAAATATCACCACATGACTGCCTGGACAAAGAGTGTTTAATTAAAGACATAATTCTCTTGGTGTCATTTTGTTGATTCTTATCTGAATGTCAATTGTGCCCTATATTGTTAAATAGAGAATTTTAGTAAACATAGGTATAATGGGAAAGAACACTGAAGGATTGAAGGCATAGTTCTATAAATCAAGGTGAGAGGTCTCAGAGGAGAATAATGTGGATATCTCAATGTCACCAATATTGGTCTTTGAAATGCCTTCAGTTTCTCTACACTTCTTTTATGAAAGATCTGCTGTATTACTTCTGTCATGAACAGACAATGTTAGTGATGACCTCCATTCAAATGTAAAGAGAGTGGACTTCCATCCTTGCTCTGATTCTAAATGAACATATTTCACGGCCTAATGATAAAAATAAATAATAATAGAATCTTATTTACTTTCAAAGATGTTCTACTGCTGTAAGCAAGGTTTCTCAGTACCCTTACATAGATGATTTCTTCACATGTTTTGAGTGTGATTTCTAAACAGAATAAGTGCTTTTCTTGGAAAGTACTCTTCTTTTTACAGACTTTGTCTCTATAGTCTAAGCTGGGGGACTCAGAATTATCATGCAATGTCCCTTTTATATCGCCCTGAAACTCTCCTGTGGCTGCAACCTCCCACAAAAAATGTTCAGTTCAATCCTGCATAGTTGTTCATTTATCTTCTTTATACCATAAAAGACAATCAGTGTCAATAAATGTCAAGACTGAGATATAAGAGATAAAAATTTTGAATGGGAAAGGAAAGTAATTGAATAATATATATATATATTATAAAAATATATGTATATACACACACACATATATATACATATATATATACATATATATATATATAATTATGGCAGGGGGAAAATACATTTCTAAAACCTCTTTTAACTTTCAAGGAGTTAGAATATCACAGTTCTATCTGGAAAAACCCGGCTAATTCCAATGATGATAATGTGAGTTCTGGTTTTATACAAAGAGTCTCATAATTGAACTCATTATGTATACAACCCTCTCAATTGTATTTAGGTTTCAAATATATAGGTCTGGCATAGTTCAGTTAAATATATACACTTCTACTCTGGAAGATGTCTCAGTAGTTTAAGACAATTCATTGTAGCCTGGTAAATAACCTGAGATTAATCACTTTGATCTATGGAACTGCCTTAAAAAGCTGGACACAAGAGTGATGCCCCTTTAGGTATAGCTAATAGAAAATAAGGAACATACAGGAAAATCACTGGAAGGTTGCAGGCCAGTTAACATAGAGTAAGATTACCAAGCAAAGCAGTAGGACTAATGTTGTCCTTGTTTGTATACAGATGGAATGTTGACTTGTGACATCCATATATGCTGTATGACATGTACATGGCCAACTTCATACATAGACATCAAACACATACACACACATACTAAAATTTGATCATACTCTGTAGCATGAATAATGAACATCAAGAGACAGATATTGGTATCCATTGTGAATATCAGTAAAGCAAAATAGCCAAGCCACTAGAAAGTACTTACCTCTGTTAAATGTTCAGCCTGAAAACGAAAGTTTTTTTTCTACCCCACTTTATATTCCTTTCTAATGCTGGGATTAAAGGTGTGCATCATCACTGGTGGCTTGGCCTCTGTGACTAATCAGTGTGGCCACTAGGATTAAACTTGTGTACCACAACTGCCTGGACTGTGTGGTTTACTATTTTGGCTGTTTTGCATTCTGCTTTTTGGGTAAGTTTTATTTATTAAAATACAAATGAAATATCACCACAATATTCTCCCCCATTATCTTCCTTTATTCTCTTCTCCCTCCTGTTATTGACATTCCGTTTCTTCTCCCACATAATTTTTCCTATTTCTTTTCATTTCTTTATTTAGAGCCTTTAATTAGGGTTGCCTGTAAGAGCTCAGCAGTGGCATATTTAACTATGCAAGAATACTCTACTCGTAGCAACACCACAAAGGATTATATCTTCTCTTAAACCTAGCAATTATTAACTGCCTATGGATTCTCAGGGATGAAGAAGGTTTTATGATTCCCTCTTCCATATTGATTTAATTGTGTGTGAGGATATTCCTTAGGAAAGATACCCTGGGTTGTATAAAATAGAAAGAGGCAACTAAGAGTTTGCATCTCTTGTTGTTTTCTTTCTGGGTCCTGAGTGTAGAATTATTGTTACCAGCTTTTGTACCCTGATGAAGAGGTGGCTTCCCTGTCATGATAAAATTTGTTCTTTTCCAAAACATATTTTATATGTATAGGAGTTTTTGCTTACATATTTGTCTGTGTACCTCACATGTGACTGATGCATTAAAAGTAGAGGAGAAAGCATCAAATCCATTAGTGTTGTATTACAGAGAATTGAAAGCCTCCATGTTAGTGCAGAGAATTGAATATATGTCCTGTAGAAAAGCAGCCAGTTTTCTTATCTCGTGAGCTATCATTTCCAGGCATTAAAATATATTCTTTAACTGTGAGCCAGAATAAATCTTTAATTGCCTTTGTGATGGTATTTTATCACAACAACAGGAGAAGTAACTAATTTAAGGAGACCATAGGGTAAATACATAGAAAGAGATGAGCTTTGACAGCTTATTACACTGAAGATGCTTTTTTCCTTGAACTTCTAAGCATGAGAATCCTGTCTTCATAGCAAATCTCCTGATAACCAATCTTGAACATTGAATTTCATAACACCAGTGTAAGCACATCTTACCGACTCTACTCTGGCCTCATCTCCTAAATGTGCATCAAATCCATTCCTATGTGCTTTTCACTTCTCTATACTTGCTCTCCCACTGACCTAAATTCAGTTGTGAAAACAGCGCTCTTTTTAAAGTTAGGTCAGATTTGGCAATGATAGCATATGACAGAGAACATAGAACTTTCATGAGTTAAATAAGCATTTCTAAGGGTGTTGAATTCCAGTTTTGAAAAGGATGGGCTATATGAAAAGAGTAGATAAAAATAGGCTTAGTATCCTAAAGAATCCAAAGGATATCATGAAATATGTACAATCTACAATGAGATATTAAGAGATACAGAAAAGTGAGAAGACTTTTGATATTTGATGGCTTTGGTTAAAGTAACTTATCAAAGTATTAATGAATGGAGGAACCAAAGATTGCTTATGTGGTGTTTTAACTCTTTTTTATTGTTCAATTCAAAAGCAGTACCAGATGAAAACTGAAAAAGTAAAACAGGAATATAAAAAAAGAATATAAAAAATATAAAATTAATTTTTTTTCTAATTCTGTAAGGGACATTTTGATTCAGGTGATGGATATATACGTGAAATACTTTTGAAAGTGTAAAATCTAATGCAAAATTCTGCTCATTTCCATTCTAACTCTGTAAAAACTGATTGAGTTGTATAGACATTTTTATTGCTGACTTTGATGGACAATGTTATTTTTCTGCAAATTTTATGATAAAGTTTAAAAATTTCTCTTTAAATATATATTAATATATAAGGCTTCTTTAACTTTCTGAAATTCTTTCAGAAGGTCAATCACCATCCTTAATAAGAATGTACCCACGGACAAGTATGAAGTAGTGAAGGGAATGATATAATACAACACAGCACTAGACTGAAACAGTTCTTTGACACACAGAAAGAAACGTGTTATCTAATACAGATCTGGTCTACTCATCTCTCTCTTGAATACTTGAACATACTTGTTCTTATGCTGAGTTCATAAAATGAGTCCAGCTTATGCTGCAGGTGGCAACAGTCCTACACATCACTGTAGATTTGCATGTGACCAGAGCACAGCCCACAACTAAGGATTTCTTAAGCAGCCATTGACACCCTGTACAAAAGTCATTCTCAGTGAAGATACAAAATCAATACGATGGTCCGTGCTGAGTTCCTGGGGCTGCTACTGCTCTGGTTTTTAGGTAAGGAAGAGAGAAATGAGGGAGCAGTGTGGTGAGTGCCACCTTGATTTTTATGGAAGTTTTCCTATAACATGGTTAACATCGCATATTTGTGTTTATTTCTACCGTCAGGTGTGAGATGTGATATCCAGATGACCCAGTCACCATCCACGCTGTCTGCATCTCTGGGAGAAAGTGTCACCATCACTTGTCATGCCAGCCAGAATATTAACAGTTGGTTATCCTGGCACCAACAGAAACCAGGGCATGCTCCTAATCTCTTGATCTATAAAACATCCAACTTGCATACGGGAGTCCCATCGAGGTTCAGTGGCAGTGGATCAGGGACTCATTATTCTCTCACCATCAGCAACTTGCAGCCTGAAGATACTGCCACTTATTATTGTCAGCAGGATCAAAGTGTTCCTTTCACAGTGATACAAGTCATAACAAAAACCTCCCACAAGTGCAATGGAGTAAGAAAAAGTTGCCTCAGATGCTCCTTGTAGTGCCTGCACCTGCTAATATTTTGTTATAAGACTTACCTGAGCTTTGAATGTCATTGGGAGGATTGCAGAAAACTATTAATGTGACTCTTTTACTTTTAACTCTACTCTTTACTGTCCCCAAAACACAAAATGATAAAATATTTTAAAATTTACTTAAAAGCAGTTTCTTTTATGTTTGAATGATCGTAGCTCTTTTATTCTTGCAATTTATACAGCAATGAGATATCATTACATGATATCTCCTGGGAGATTATTTTAATTCAGGGAACTAATGTCTAGATAACAGCACCTTATGGTCTGTGATGTGCTAGATTTGATACTATAGTATCTACTAAAGCTTGATATTTAAATACTTGAGACCAGTTTTGACTACATTATGGTACATTTTGGAATCTTTAGCTTGTGTATGCTCAAATTGGATGAGGTTTTTCAATAGACAGAAACTTGGGTGTATATTATCTCTGCTTGTTTCAAAATGAGCTATAGCTTTAAGAACCAGCAGGTTGCTAATGGATTGACTCCAAATGACTTCCCTATAGCTATGGAAAAAAGCTCTAAAAAGCTGAGACCAAATAAATTCTGTACCTTTTAAATTGTTTCTAATATGTATTTTCATCATGGCAATGCAAAGGTTACTAATACGAGGAGTCTATTATTTCAAGGAAGCAGATATTAGAAGTAGGGGTTCTTAGTATTCATTCACAATACATTGATTCACATCATGCTTTCCCCGGATATGTACAGAAAACCTAATAATGATTTCTAATACTCTTTGTTCCTGTAAACTGAACACTTGTGATTTTCCAGATCCTACTCTGTCGGCCCATGGAGCTTTACACTTATGATTAAAATTTTCAAGATGTATAGCTGAGCCTAATTCAGGAAATTATAGAAAAAGGGGTGTGGAGAAATGCAATATTGGAAGTATTTAAAGTGAAAAGAATTCACAACAGGTGGTTTTTAAGAAATTGAAAATTCTTATTTACTCATATATTGAGAGGAAAAGGATGAATAATATTAACTGAATGGCAGTATTTTTAAATTTTTCCATTTCTTTGACATGCAAATGAGTTGGTACTTAATTGAAGAGCTATTTTTTATTTCAAAATAGCTTAATATATATATTAATATATTATTATTATATATATAATATATTAATATTATATCATATTTATATTAACATAATATAATATAAATACTATATATAATATATAACATATTATATATAATAATATTATTAATATAATATAATATAAATATAATATTATATATAATATATATAATATATAATAAATAATATATAAATATCAATATATATTATATATATATTATGTCCCGTAAATCAATATCTCACTCTCTCTATATATAAATATATGAGAGAGATGTTGATTTATGGGCTAATAATTTAATTTCCTAGTATGATTTCCTATAGTGCTGATTAATTAGGGGGCTTTTAATGATTACTGAGAATCAAAACATGATTTTGATTCAACTAGAAAGTACAAAAAGACACAAGATGTAAGGATGATAGAATCATCATTTTCACCCCAATGGACTAAGGGAACAAGTTTCAAGAGCACTTATTCAGCTACTTCGTGTTGTCATTGATAGTAGAGCCCAGGTTTCTAGTTAGAATCTACCTTCTCATAGAACCAATTCTTTATTTAGAAACAACTTGACTGAGCATCTGATCCCATCATATATAAGTCAGTTAATGTATATAATGTAGATTCCATATTTCTGTGGTAAAATTGCTTCTCATATGGAAAGTGCCTTTATTTTGCTGTAACAGCCTACCTAATGATGCAGTGCAAATGCTTAGTGTACTGGGACCTATGAGTTTGTGAAATGCTGAGCAGTATATTCTAAAGCCAGGTTATATTTGGAAATATTCTCAATGAATGTAGTCAAGTGCTGTCTAGGAGTATGCATCCATCCAATTTTCCATTCCTGTGACTATAAGTGGCAGAGACCCACATTGGAGCACTGGACTGAGCTCCCAAAGTTCAGTTGAAGAGAGGGAGGAGTAAGACTATGAGAAAAGAGGTCAACAACACGATGGGTGTACCCACTGTAAAAGTCTACCGGAGCTAATGGGAGCTCACCATTACCAGCAGTACTTGGAAAAAACAAGCATAGCACCAAACTAGTACCTCTCAATATGGTTGACAGTTGCATAGCTGGGCAGACTGAGGGGCCACTGGCAGTGGCACCAGAATTTATCCCTACTGTTTGTACTGACTTTTTATGAAGCTATTCTCTTTGTCTATATACCTGCTCAGCATAGATATAGTAGGGAGGGCCTTGGACCTTCCACAAAGCAAAGTGGTAGGAGTGGGAATGGCGTGGGGTGGGTAGGTTATTGGAGGGAATGGGAGAAGGAAAGGGACTGGGAATTTGAATTGGTATGTATAATGAAAAAAAGATAATTTGTTTTGGTTTTTAAAAAGTAGTAAAAATAAATAAATAACAAATAAAAAGGTTCCTCAAATCTCTGTCCTGGGTCAACAGTACATTTTACTCTATGAAAGAAAGAGCACAAAACCAGGAAAAGTTACCATGCACTTTTGTAAAAAATAGAAAATAGACTATTTACAATAAAAAGTACTATTTTTTATCTCCTGCTACTTTTCTTCTTTTGTAAAAAATATAATATAACTATATTAACTTCTTCATTAATATTATGTAAATATAAAATATGAACTTACTTATTTCAAGAATTTTACAGTTTATATATATATTTTTAAATAACTGTAAAACATATAAGAAAAGGTTAAATTTTGTCTGGACAGAAGGCTTAGTGGTTAAGAACACCGATCTTTCGTGAATTCAAGGTGTGATGGCACATACCTTTAATCCCAGCACTTAGGGGGCAGAGGCAGGCAGATCTCTGTGAGTTCAAGGACAGCCTGGTCTACAGAGGAAGTTACGGGACAGCCAAAGATACACAGAGAACCTGTCTCAAAAAAGCCAAAAATTAAAAGTAAAAATAAAAGTAATAGAGATTAAAATAAAGACACATAAAGATGAAAAATACATAGAGAGTATGGATACTATATATTATGTTTTCTTTGAATTGCTTGACAGCAGAAGCACAAGCTTTATTAAATAAAATAAAAGGAGAAGAATTGGGAGGACTTACAAATGTCTATTGCAATTTGACTGAAGGTCAGAGAGTTTGAGTTATTTTTGCTCTTTCAAAGTTGGTTAGCAACTACACATCCTGGCTCACTTGATATTTTGGACTTTAAGATTGCCCATAGAGTTGAATTAGTCTACATTGACCAAAGATCAGAGAATAAAAGCATACTCATTTTTTCCTTCATTTGAAATCAGCAGTTTGACATATTGAGTTGCTTACTGGCTGCCTGCAGTATACTCAGTCTAGGATATGTTCACTGCATATCCTGCCTGAGACATCAATGCTTTAGTCAGGAGATAATAGCTTGATTTCTTATGTATTGAGGCAAGTAATTATTCTGATCATGCCTTGTGTCATGCTAAAGCAGTCTTTTGCTTTCTTCCCCTCTTTTGTATTGTGGGTATAAAAGTATTTGAAAAATAAATGTAGGCATTTTCAGTACTCAGTATTCACTGAGTTGCCCTCCCAGTACTATAATGTGCCTCTGTATTTCTTTCTTATCTCTGTGTCTCCTACCTAACTTTTCTCATCCACATAACCCTACTGTGGAAACTGTGAACCTGTGATAGCTGGACTGTGACAGAAGTCACAATGTGCAAAATGTGGTTTACAACAGCAGGGATTGTATTACTGATTCAAAATATTTTTGAGCCTCTCTGAAAATATTCATGGTCATGTTTCTTTGGTGTGATGATATATCTGGAAAACTGAAAGGCCCAGATTCAGTAAAACCCTGTAGCTGAGTCTATAATTTTGTTTTTCCCCAGGGCATAGAAAAGCTGGTATAATTACATAAAAGATGGGCTCTATCAGTAGAAATGGATTAAGAGGTTTTAAGAATTCTGCAGAAACTACCTATGCCTGAAGAAAAGGAAAAAAACAGGATGGCAGAGTTGTTCCGTGAAGAATGGAGTTTCCATACAAGCAATGCCTCAGATGAAGAGACTAGTGACTGAGACAAAAGAATAGATGGAATTTTATGGAAAGGGTGTGAATGAAATATTGTTTACTTTTTTTTGCCATGCTCTCTTTGTTTAATGCATCTTTTACTGCTGAGGCATATTTTGCCTGTGTGTCTGTATTTCTGTATTTCACTTTGTTTATCAGGAAGAGAATAACAATCCTGTTTATGTATATGCCTCTAAGATTTTGAATGTCTGGAGGTTAAAAAGGATAACATCATGGGTTGGATTTTGGGAATTTCTTTTTGTTTTATATCAGTTAAAGTCCAACTGTGCTTTTATCCAGGGTACCAAATTTATAGGACAGATACCTATCATGATCAATTTGTAGAAATGGCCTTCATGGTTCAAATGGAAGGGTACATAACATGTTCACAAAGCATAATGCTCCCATAAGTTTTCAGGTTCTCTATTTGTAAAATATTTCCTTAAGAATTAATTTATATTCCGTAATAAATTCACACACACACACACATAAATAACTAACTTTTAGCAACAAGGACTACTATATCTTACCTACTTCCTTCATTCCTCCAGTTTCTGGGCCTCACTCACCACAGTCTGTCTCTTCTCATGTTAACACTTTTACTCTTCCAGATCTTGTCTCTCCCCAGCCTGTCTGCACCCTGTCAAAAAACTTCAAATAATGTTGGACCCAGTTTAAAGTAAATTCCCATTGGCCATCTCATTGCCTGTGTGCTAAGAGTGTGCCCTCCTTTCCATCCTACACAATCAGTTTCCTGTGAGATATCAGTCTTCTCACCTTACTCACTTTCAATGACTTTGTCTAAATAATGAACATTTTATTTTCTTATTTATATTTTATTGCCTCCACCATGTACATCAAGGAATGAGAGCACCATTTAACTATTTTATGCTGTATATAAGACTTTGAG